ATTGGTAATTTGAGTTCCTAATTTGTATGAAACTACAGACTCTGTATTTTGACATCACAAACATCTAATTTGAACCAGTGCTGAATTCAACATACCACGTGAAACAAAAATCGATGTTTAAATATTTTTTTAATATTTACTTTTAAATTAAGAAATTGAATAATGCATAATACTAAAATTTTAATTATTATTTTACAGTTAAACTGTATTAAAGTTAAACTAATTTTATACACTGATGGATTAACCAATTATGCAAAATTTGCAAGACTTTTTATCTAAAAATTTCATATTCTTGAAAGGTTTAATAAAAGGAGTTTTTAAGAACCTATTTTGAAAATTCAGGCAGTGTTGTTCAAAGCACTAAATATGAGAGCTATTAGTGAGTATTAAGAGAGAAAATCAATTTGTTCTAGATACTGAACCACAGTTTTTAGTGATTATCTTGGAAATACAGGCATATGCAAAGATCTTACTGTTTGGATGAAAATATTTAATTTCATTTACTAAAAACTGATTAGTTTAACAATTGGTAATGAGTCAAGACTACTTTTAGTGAATAATTAGTTAAAATCAAATGACAACATAGCATCTAAATGTTCTGGATAAATAAAACGTTATTAAGCAGTTGAATGAAGCATCATGCATTTTATCATGTTCTTATGAGAAATTTCTCATAAGAATTTGGGTCTGCTCTTATCTTAACTTGCATACTTGCTACTGAAGCAAGGAAGATTATAGCCAAGCACAACATATAAAAGTGGTTCTGAACTTTATCCCATATGACTGTTTTCAGATCTCTGATATTCAATTAATTTAAAGTCACGGGAAAAAAATACATTACCTTATGTGCTTAAAATTTAACTGTTAAATATATTTCTTAGGCAATGTGGTAACTATGGTTTACAATATCTCCTGAAGCATTACTAAACTTACTGAGGTTGGAAAAGGAACATATCAATGATCAAATCTCTTCCTTTTGTGTGGTTGAAAAACACAAAGAGACTCCAGTGAATTAACCAAGTTCTCTGCTGAAGAGATTGTAAGGGAGAACCGAAAGCCTAAAATAAATAAAAAACATTTGTACTTACACTGTTATTATAAAAATAATGATTTTTCTGTATATTTTTATTTAGATTTTGAATATCAAATCTTATGAATACCATTGAACAAATGAAGGGCATTTAGCCAAAAGCATTTACACTGCTAATTCTCTTACAGTTATAACAATTTTTCATTTTAGATTTTATCAAAACATTACAGATTCAATTTTTGCATTACAATTTGATTATATTTACTTACTTACTGCTGCCCTTGAAAATACAAAATAAATTACTCTATCTAGAACTTTCAAAAAGCAAACTTAGCAGTTAAGAGAAAGAAAACAATGAAGCTTTTCTTGGACAGTTACATTTCCATCAATATATTCCTTCAATTTGTTTAGATCCTCTAAAGCAGTTTCCCAATTCTGCATCAAGATCTCTGCTGCAAGTTTACCCCAGAGTCCATTTAAAAAGTTTTTGTCTGTTCCTGGTACCTGTAAGAAATATAACTGGTTGTTGACCAATCTTTCAACATACACCAATATTTTTATTGATATGATTATCACTCATATAAAAATGGTATTAAAAAAAATCCCCCTAAAAATATTATGGCCTGATTTATGTTAAAACAATACAGTGAAATCTTGAAAAATTAAAAAAAAAACACTTTCCAGAAACTAATAAAATTCAAGACAAATATATGATGCATGGTTTTAATTTCTAGAGATAAAAGTTGTTTCTTCACATGGACATTTACCAATCAGTTTCATGCTGGTGCTAAGGCTAATTGTCACCATCCCTAATTTTGAACTACTGACCAGACGGATGGCAGTAAGTCAGCAGTACTCTACCATCTATGCTAAGGGATTGACTGTCACTCTTCTAATACACCTAAAGCTCAAAATCCATGATATTTGCTATGGTATCACACAGATTTGAATTTGAATTGTCAAATACAATATCTAGAGCTCTACCACAGGGCCAAACCATGTCATTGGTGCATTATTAGTGATTATGTAGTAGCTACCGCCTCTAATGTCTATTGTTTAGATGACTGACCTTTTATTTTATTTTCTTAAATAAAATAAAATATTTTTACTTTTCCAATTATTTTCATAAAGTGAATGAAATAAAGTTTAACATATTAAGGTAAGTAATTAAGTCAACTTTATGTAAATGATTAAAAATTTATTTATTGTAAATGCAAAACTAGGTTATCTACAAAGTTAAGCATTTGGTGAAAATGAGAAAGAATTATCAGTATAATTTTGGATACTAAGATATTGTTTTTTTGGTTATTCCTATTTCAAGCTGAATTACTGATCCACATTTTATTCTGGCTTATTGCATACCACAGATTATCACCCAAAGTCAGTATGTGAATTTATAACATTGACTTTGCAAATCTAGAGTGACAAAGGACAGGTGATACTGATATACAGCTAAAAAGTTATATACAGCTGACAATATCTAATCTACTGTAAGTCAAAACTTTGATTTTCATTATAGTGTGTAGCCCATACATTTTAAAGGTGATAAATAACAAGGGTTATTAAAGCTCTATTTTTGTTTTACTGAATGAGATGAAAAACAAGTCCACTTACCAGTGCTCGATGAAAATATAGATTTACAGCAGCACGAGAGTAATCTCCACATTCAAATTGAAATTTTGCAAAGGTGTAGAGGGTATCAATCATTGAAGGCTTAAACTGAGAAGTAAAAAAAAATACCACAATACACCAAACAATACTATCAAATCTACTGCATTTTAAAACAATATTACAAACACACACACATGTAAAATAGTCAGTGGAATGATAATTTGGCATTTTAACCTCAAAATCACTTTTATGTGACACGAGCCAAATGGTCAGGTTGGAAATCCCAAAGTTCTGACTTAGATATTCCCAAATTAAAAATGCTATCTAGAGTGAGGGCAACCAATCAGCATCAATCCCTACTTACACTTAACTGAATAGTGGGATTTATTATCTCTCTTTATAACACATTTGCAGCTAAGAGTGAGAAGCATGTTCAGTGGCATATTATGGGCTTGAACCTTCTAATCCACAGCTTGGTATGCTAACTGCTAGGCCATGCCCAGCCCATCAATGGAATGGGAAATTTATTCAAGGAGGTCCTCAATTTAATTATAAGACCTCTAAATAACTCTAACTTAGTAATTATGTATAATTAGTATCAAAGAAATATGATTTTACTATTACATAGTTATCTTTTTTTTTAAGTTATATAAATCATCAGTGTGTTATAATAATTTATTATATATTACTTAACACATGTGAATGACTTGGTGTTTCAGTATTGTATGAGAAATAGATGCCAGGAAATAAATAAAACGTTTTCTAAGTTGTGATGGCAAAGATAGCAATATTCCTCAAAGAGGAAATTTCTATTAACAAAAATTTAACATCTGCATATTTGATTTTTCTCTATAAAAATGTCAGACCTTTAGCTGTCTTGGTTTTGTGGGAGCATACAACTGCTCTATAGATTTTTTTCTATAATTCAAGCATGCCTACATACTGAGCAGGTCAAGTTCTTAATTAACATATATATATATATATGAAGCTCTAATGTTTAATTAGTAGAATGTTCAAAATAGTAGAAACAAACATATATTTAGAAATTTTTTTTTTCTATATTTTCTTTGCACCCTTTAGATATTTACAAACATTCACGTTAGGAATGCCACAGCTTCTCCCATGCCATATGGAATAGTTATTTTTAAATTATGATAATAATCTGTTTATCAGAAAACATTTTCTTTAATACGAAAAACATTACAAATATTAAATCAAGATTACATGAAATGTTCCTTACATCATAATTCTTCATGAGAAACTCCACAAGCTGGCGACTGTCTCTATATGAAGAGAAAACACCTTGGTCATCCCACTGAACAGTAATATATATGTATTTTTCAATTTCTTACACATTCCTTCAATACTTCATGAGTGTATTGAAGATTGTTAAACAGTAAATCTTACAAAAAAAAATAAAAATTCAAACTTGTGAAAGTTGGAAAATTCAGAACAATTTAACATTCTGATGTATAGTTTTCAAAGCAATAATTACTATACCAATGGTGAATTAATATTTGTTTACAAAACAGCATGTATAACTTAGGTCCTTGTTTGAGTAAAATGATTAAGTGTTTGTAGAAAAACTTTTAAAGATATGCAGTTAGGTACATTAATTTTAGAGGTTGGCATAGGTACTCAAAGACCTAGCTACCTGTCATGTTGTAAATTACCAACCTGGATCTCTTTTTCATTACCCAGGTATCAATTATTAATTTGAAAACTTAAAGATGTATAAAATATGACAACAAAGCAGTTCAAGCTTTAAGCATGAGTCCCTGGTCAACACAATAAAAGTGAGTTTAAAGCAGACTTTGCAAATTTCAGTGTTTCCTCCTTTAGTAAATAACTCCCACACAATACTCAATTGCTTTGATAAGATCTTTAGCTGCTTTCTTAATTGAACTTAAAAAAAAAGAACAGCAGCAGAATATGACCAGTAGATGGCACAAAGAATCCCACAACATGAAACATGTTTAATATTAATAACTTTATTCAATCTGAGGAGTTTTTATCATTATTCTATCATTTCCAGTACCAAAAAAGGATACACAAGTCTACAGGTTTGAGGAAATGTATGAGTACTATATACACCATTTAACTACCTATTATGCACTTAAATTATTAATATTTTTGATCAATTTAAGTTAGTTAAATCCTTGCTGTGCCTTTCTAAGACACATAGGGCCAGTGCTTTCGAATTTGTTTCTTGTTCAAGGACACAGTAGCATGACAGGGTATGGCCTTGAACTCGCAACTATCTGACTACGAGTCCAAAGCATGAAGACATTGAGCTAT